TTTTTTTTTTTTCTTGTACAGAAGTTTCCCAGTTGTGGGCAAACACATTTGTTGTGATTTCATATTTGTAGTTTTACTGATTACAACATGTTTTTTAACCTCACTGACTCCTAGCGTGCATCCTTACAGTTGTAGTATTTAATGTGTACTGTGTATACAGTATTTTTCTGCTGGTAAACTCTTCCAAGAATTCTAACCTCCGGCCAAAGAAAGTGAAATTACAGACAGAGGGCAGCATTGGTGCAGATGAACGCACCACAGATGAATCCTGATTAATTTTTGCACAATTAAGTATATTTATCAAATCATTAGTATACAATAATAAACTATTGTGTTTCTAAGACTGTATAAGACTCTATTCGATTTCCCCCCAAATATTGACAGAATTTTTTTTATGACAAACTGTAAACAATAACACTGTGCTGCTGTGCCCTACACCAGACTGGAAGTTTAATGAGTAACTGTAACAAACTAGTTTCCCCACAGCACTTAAAGTTACTCATTACCACAGAACACACGCAACACAAAAACAAGTAAACAATAACAGTTGTATTTTGATTTATCTGAACATTTCTGCTGCACATTTTGCTAACTTGTACCTATTTTAGCTATCTTCTTTGTTCATGCTAACTTTGGCTTCGAGCAAACTCTTATTACTAACTTATCTTGGCTTTTAATTTAAATTTTAGCTTTTTGAGTTAATTTTGGCTAACCTGTAGCATCACTGCCCGAAATTACAAACACATTAGGGACATTAAATAATATAGTATACATTTTAGCTAACTCTTGGCTAATTGTGTTGGATTATTCACTCACTTTCTTTAAAGTTTTTATTTTTATAGTGATTGATATAGTGATGGCTTTGTTTGTTTTAACTGCCTTTGAAGAGCCAGTTTTACTGTATTGTAAAATACAAGAATTTATATTTTATATTTCTCAGATTAGTAAAGCTAAAAAGTACAAGTACATCAATCATCCACTGCATGTATTTATCAGACTGTACTGCGTTTTTCTGCCACATATTTACAGTCAAAAGTACCGACGTATTCTGTCTGCTACTGTTGTCTTATTAAATTTGATGGACATTGAAATTACATTGAAAGACTAGAAAAATAGGAAGGACTTTTGTGAATTATCCTTTTTTATTTGAAAGATTAAAAGTAAATCAACCTGGTGTTTTCATATATACAGACTCATTCTACAGAGTGTGTGGCCAGACCTCATGCTGAGGACCTGGTACTGAGCCCCAGGGCTGGGTTATATTTAGGCAACTGCTCTCTCTCTCTCCCCCTCTCTCTCTCTCTCTCCCTCTCTCTCTCTCCCAGTTTTCTCTCTCTCTCTGAGTGGTTATGAGTGGTGCCTGCTGATTGGGTGAGGCCGACCACAGAAATATGTTGCCTCCGTGTCTCACCGCTGACTTTCAGATAACCATATGTGGTAGACTACAAACGGATGAAGACATCAGCAGTGGTTTAGCCCATTGGG